CTCTTGTTGCTGTTCTGCATTCTGACATATGTAGCTGTACCATATCCACTCTCACTAGCATCAGAGAAGTGGTGTAACTGGGCATTAATGACTTCTCCAAACCCGTCAGGTTTGATACATCTGCTGACTTGGAAATCAGCCAATTTTTCCAAGTCAGTCAGCCACTGGTTCCACTGTTTTTGGAAGATTAGAGGTATAGGATCATCCCAGCCCCATTTCATCCTGCATAACTCTTGTAACAGCAGTTTGGCAGGAAGAACGAGAGGTGCTAGGAATCCTAGCGGATCATAAATGGAGCTGATGGTTGACAACATACCTCTTTTAGTGGAAGGTTTTTCTTTGACCTTCAGCTTGAACTTAAAACTGTCTGTCTCTGTGCACCATTGTAAACCTAGTGCTCTGTCTAGTGGTAGCTCATCACTGTCTAGATTCAACTCACAAAGAGTCTGGGACCTGAGCTCTCCTGGGATACATTGGAGCACTTCTCGGCTGTTACTAATCCATTGGGTTAGCGTAAACCCTCCTCTACTGCAAATAGCTATAAGATCTTCGGCCATGGTAACTGCACTTTCCTCTGATGGCAGACTCTTTAAGAGGTCATCCATGTAAAAGTTTTTGTTGACTGTTAATACAACATCTGCTGAGAAGTTTGAATGATTATCCTCAGCAGTCTTTCTAAGAGCATAGCAAGCACAGCTCGGTGAGGAGACTGCACCAAATAAGTGGACAGTCATGCAGTATTCCTCAAGGTCTTGTTCTAGATTACCTTGAGGCCACCACATGAAACGTAAAAAGTCCACATGCTCCTCAGCCACCCTTAACCTGGTGGAACATGGATTTTATGTCTGCCATTAATGCCACATGTTCCTGCCGAAACCTCACTAGAACCCCCACCAATGAGCTAGTTAGGTTTGGGCCCTGTAAAAGCTGACTGTTAAGAGAGACCCCTTTATACTCTGCTCCACAATCAAACACTACACGCAGCTTATGTTTTTGTGGATGATATACACCATGATGGGGTATATACCACACCTTGCCCTTTGGTGTTGTTAGCTGATGCTGTGGAACCCTTTCTGCATGTCCACTATTAATGGCATTAGTCATGAAGTTT